ACCCCAGCCCTCTGCCAACCCGGGGAAATGTTGACAGGGGAATTGATAGAGAAATGTCCTCCCCAGGAGGAAGGAGGAAAATGGGAAAACAATGCCTCTGCCAGCAGTTTTTCCTTCCCGAAGGGCTGCCTGTGGGAAGCGGTGTTTGCAAGGCATGGTATCCCACTGGATGTCAGACTGCTGAAAAATGGTTCGTTAAAGAGAGCCTTGCAGTGATACCTGTGCTTAGGAGCCGAAATTACAATGGCCTATGGCAAGAATCGGTCTTTTCAATGACAGAAGGGATGTCTTCTTACCTCGGAAACCAGCTGATGAAACGCAGGCTAGAAAGTCTAATATTGGACATCCAAGTTAAAAAATGTTGCTGACAAAATCCTCCCCGCTGCTTGCTGAAACCTAGGAAATTGTAAAGGTAGCCGCAAAACTGAGTATCCAAAGTGATTTTAGAAGCTCCTCTCTAATGTAGCAGGAAATAATCTGTACTTCCTGTCCAAGATACAAGTGATAATGAGGAAACTTCAAAATGCACATTCATTTGATCTCTTACATGGCAGGTGCTCTTCCAGACAGAGCTTCACAAAGGCTTCTGCCACCAAAAACAAATCTGCATGTTTCCAAACATCCATACTGGGCACCTTCTACCCAGCTGAACCACGGGATACTGGCCAGTTCAGAAGATGACACGTCGGTATTCCCCACTCCTCCAAACCTGGAGAGCATCCCTCCCTCCCTCCCCTTGGCATAAGATGGCCACACCAAGTAACGCCCCAGGACAGCAGCGTCACACAGACAGGTTCAGGCTGGAACCAGCAGCAGAAAGGATTAAGGTCCTGAGTTACATCATCCAACATGCTCCTCATCATCCACTTTCCAAACTAAATCTCAGATTGAAAATACGCACATCTGCAGAGGTATGACTTCATCGCTCAAATTACACGGCATTCTGCAGTGAGTGCACTCCGACAGCTAGAAACAGGTATTTCTTGTTGCCGCTTTCCTGAGCTTCATCTTCTTTTAATTGGGTGGTTCCAAATTGATCTACTGCATCGAAGGTCTGACGTGTCAAACCAGGGAGGGGCATTGCTCCGGGTTTTACGGATGTGCTGGAGAAACAGTCAAGCTGGTCAAAGGTAGGCTTAAATTGGATATATTTTTTCCATGGCCTTTTTATTTTTATTTCTACATCTACAACCGAATTTAACCTTTTGCTCAGCACTAAATTCCTCGCTCCAACAACTCAGAATATCTCAGCAGAAATTCTGTGGAAAAAAGGATTAAAAAACCCCTCAAGACCTATAGGGGAGCCCTGCTGTAACCGAAGGGACTCTTGCTTGGGAGATCCCAAAACAAAAAGAAAAGCAACGGAAGAGAGAGGGGGCAGGGGAAAAAGAGTTCTGATCCAGGGTTTGGAGTGTTGCATTTGGGAATTTTAAAATTAAACCATGGCCAGTTTGGGAGCATTTTGAAACTGAAATATTAACACATTTTAGAAAACTACACAGCAGCGATTTCATCTGGCACTCTTTTTGAAACTGGATTTTTTTAAAGCATTCCACCATGCATACAACTATTCTAGTCACCTTTAAATGCATTTTGCTAATATCTCATTTAAAACGTATTGTATTTTAAACAGCCCTTATTATGATATTTTTAGAGCTTGAGCTCATCTAAATGCTTTAAAGCAACTAACTCCTAATCAGCCTGGAAAAACTGGCTGTCAAGGCAGAATATAAAAGCAGAGAGAGCGCACTGCATTCATCACACGCGCTGTGTGGTGAATACACACTGTTAGTACGTGCATGCCTCACACTCGTAAGAAAATGTATGCTTTCAGGGTAAATTATTAGAAACTTATTTAGTTCAACGCAAGTGCAATGGGCACTTGGTATTAGGAGACTGCTCAAAAAAAGAGCTTAAGGGACAATTCAAGAATGGCTAATCCCGTGGGATATATTTATGGCTTGAACTTGACCATCTTACATGGGTTGTGAAATCACTTTTATATCGTATTAGACAGTCATTTGTCAGCATTGTATTTAGTTTGTCCAATTTTTTCCCTTCCTCTTGCAGGAGAACAGAGATCAATTATGTTAGAAACAGTCAACCACATTTTCCATCACGCGCCCTATTCCTTCAGCATTAATTGGGTAGATGTAATTACCAATTACAAAGGGACACAATCCTGCCTGTCTTGCACGAAGTTCCACTTCCATCTTTAAGAAGACCCTGTCAACGTGGTGGTGTTTCACTCACAGTATGTTTATCCTCCGCGTTTTGTTCAATCCAGTACAAGTGAAAGCCACAGCGCACTCCCACGAGGCGTGGCACGCGGGGTCCGTATAGCCAGCGCTATAGGTGATGGCAAACAGCAGCAGCTCTACTAGCAGACCTGTTCCTCCCGACGACGGCACAGCTCATCCTCGCAGCCACTCAGGAGAACCACAGACAGCAGAGGACGAACAGGATCGGAAGGTACCGATGGCTTTGGGAGCCCTGCCCTCCAGCAATCCCCCTGCCACCCGTACGAAGGTGGAGAGGGATGGTGGGTCACCTCGTCGGCTACTTTGGCCGCTACCAGTCCTGAAGTCAGGAATGCTTAGTCTTCCATCCCTCCTACCGGATCAAGAAACCTTTCTTCATGGGCTGCTTCCCTGGAGAGAACAGGCTCTCTCTTTCCGGAGCAGACCAGGCATTCCCCCCTAGACATTCCACTCTGAGCCCCGCTGCCAGAGCACCACGAGAAGATGCACCCCAGAAGGTGTTACATGAACGCCGCCCAGAGACGCTGGGTGCCAACCCAAACCTCTGGCCTATGGAGACCACCAGTCTGTCAACATTTTTTTAGAGATTTCTTTCATGCTTGCATCTTTTGGTTATATGCACATTTATATACATTTATATTTAGTGTCTATGTAAGGTATAGATATACAAATATCTTTTTTACACCATTATTGGGGCATTTAAGATGCACATAGACTTTTTGTTATGGTGCTTTAAATTTTTTGGCTTGATAAGGATTTTTCAGGACAGACTCAGAATATTTTATGAGCACATACTGTGACAGCCACAGGACACGTGCGATAACCCACGCACGTTTTCCAACTTCACAGCTTGTGATTACATGTTGGCACCTGGTGATTGACTGAGATGTCCTGAACCCCTGGAAAAATCAAAGCACCAGAAGAGCTTGTGGAAACAAGCATGTTTGCAGTCAGAATGGCCTGAGGTATAATAACAGTAAATTGTGCTGGAGATGAAACGCAAAACTCATACGGATAATAATATGGTCCAGGGTTTACTTCTCAGCGATAGTGAAAATTTAAACTGATTCTGTTGCTCCAGAATTTAAATTGGAAGAAAGTTTAAAGATGGAAGAATGGGAAGATAATACACAATAAAAAAGTAACTATAGCTTACATAGTCTATGGCTACTCTCTACTGCAGGCATTTTAAGTAATAATTTATAAATACTATGAAAAATATATTTATAAATACTATGAAAGTATAAAGACTATGAAAAATAACTGGCTTTCATACGTGAGACGTAGTATATTCTGGCTTTTGAGCTGAAGCATTTTAGTTTTTATTAACTGTATAATTTTGAGGTATCGGTAAAACTGTTTGGAGTAAATAAAACCACCCAGAATAGTTTTCCATTTTATATACAAATCTTTAAAAGAAAATTAACATTATAAAGAATATTAACCTTATTTTTTTGTTTATTTCAGCCAAATCAAATTAAATAAACCTACTGGTCCTGATTTATAGAAAGAAAAAGCTTAGCTCAAAATGCCTGCATTGGGAGATCGGCTGTGACTGAGGGACTGCTTGAAATACCGGTGCAGAACAGACTTTACTAGAGAGCCAGAACTCAAGGTACATACTCTTTTTTTCCCTGACCATGGTGACTCATTACAGGTTTTGATTCTCATGTTTGTTCAGTAAAAAAAAAAAAAAGGTCTAAACAAAACTATACATTCGATAAAAATAGAATTGTCTCCAAGTCTAATTTTTCACATGAACAGGTCAATTTTAAATGACGAAAGTAAAAGCATGAAAACTGTCGTGTAAGACTTGAGGGTAGCTATTACATTATTCTATAGACCAAGATTTATTTAAGAGTTACCTGCATGAAGTAAACCTCAGAGGGAGGCCTCAGAGAGCGGCATGGACACTAACGAAACCCTCGCATCCCACTCCATTTTTAATGTATCTACTCCATTAAGCTCATTCATACAGAAGCCGTAATTATCTTCAGATAAAAATGTCCCCAGCTTTAATAGAACAACATTAGGGTTTTTTCATCAAAACATTTACCCACAAGATAACCCTTAACAACTGTTCTAAGATCAAATAAGAAAATGTCTTTTATCTCATATAATTGTGTGTGATACATGTGATTACGTAATTTGCACGTGCTGTGTGCGCTATACTGAACTACAAATGAAAATCATCAATAAAGAGGAAGAGGAATCTGTATGTTTACAAGAGCGTTTCTCCTGAGGACTGATGCTGGGCAGTGGTGGGACAGAAGGATGTGGTGAAGGAACGTCACAGCACCAAGCCCTGTGCTCCGAAGGGTTCCTGCTGTCCCCACCGTGACCCAGAGCACCGCTGCTGTCCCTCCCGTTGACGCCTTCTACAGCGACCTTCAGGGATCGTCAGGACAATCTGGCCAAATTCCACAATGGGTCAGAGAGCTTTCCTACCTGGTTGCAAACTAACATTATGAGAACAGCGTTCTGAGACAAAACCTTACGGTCTTTGGGAGAGGTGGAGCCTTAACCAACACTTTTACCTTGGGAATAGACTACAGAAGGTTTGGACACATGGAAAGGACATTCCCTTAAATTTTGAAAGCACTTTTGCTGTTGCAGCTCAACTCTTCGTACATATACACGCATACATGTCTACACTTACCTGTATGCACCTTACATTTACACTTTCCTCTTTTCAGGCAGCTTTCCAAATCACAATATGATCAGAAAAGAATTTCTTACCTGGGGAAATTATATAGAAGAAGTCCTTAAACTCATCCATCCAGACCTCAGCCAGTCTCCTGTTGTTCTTGTTGATGACGTGTCCGGTGCCACCAGGGAAGGTGTAAGGTGTTGCCTTTCGGAAAACGTGGCCAACGTGCGAGCAGGTGACAATCTCAAGGGACCCGCCGCACTGCCAAATCTGAAATTAAAACATGCAGAAAACGTTGACCAAACCGAACAGAAACCACGCCGAGTTTATAGCAGGAGGGACTCTGACAGACAGGCTAGCAGCTATCTCCTCATTTATTTCCCCGGGTCACAACTCAACAGGGAATTTCAAGCAAAAGTTGCAGGGGAATAGCAAGGGCATGGCTCTTGGTAGCAATGGAAGTGCACAGACCTTAGTGCAATGTGAAAGCTTGTGTGAACGGTTCACCTGGTCCTGTCTCCTTACTGCATGAACACACACAAACCATCGTCTTGGAAAGGTGTCGTGCTATAGTGGACTAAGGGTAGGGTACGGATGTCACCCGTGCATTTGAATCTTCCAGGATTTCAAAATATTTAAAGAAACAGCTAAGAACTCTTACTTTTATATGTATTTATTTTTTTTTTTTTTTCAAAGCAGAATCCTCTTCATGACCATCCCAAGCAAAGGCACAGCACATCTTGGTTAACATCCCAGAAAGCAATAGAAAGCAGCAAGCACAGGTACTTTGAACACCACAGAACCACAGAAGTGAAACACAAATGCAAAAAGCATGTTCTCTGGTTCATATGCTAGTGAGTACCATGATCAAGTCAAAAAAAAAAAAAAAAAAGAAAAAAAGAAAAAAGCTATAGACAAAGAAGAGAATTTGATGAACTTCTAAATGCAAACTGTCCCCTTCCACTGCTGGAGCCAATCTATACTCTCAGGTAAGCTCAGTGCCTTCACTAAGACTGCGCAGGTAGAAAAAAAATGATATAATCCCAGACTTTAACCCCTGCTGTTAGAAGAAGTAACATATTTTTCTGTCAGATCGCTAGTCCTGCCCTGACAGACATCAGTTTGTGTATTAACGCTGTTCTGCAATCTCCCATCTTTCCAGGCTCTGAAAAGAACTAGAGAAGAAACTAAGGCAGGCTGAAGGTCCAAGTTTGCAGGACCGGAGGCATAACATCAGCAGAGGGTGAACAACAGGGGCTGACGAAGACTTCCACCAGATGGTAACAGGGTTACAGAGCTTTGCTGTTCTGCCAGACAATATCGAGTCCTGGGGATTCACTCGTCACTGAGGTTCACAGACATTTCTGGCACTCACAAAGGCATCACCAGCTGCCCGGTTCCTTAGTTAGGCTCGTCCCACCCGTTGCTTTAGTCTCCTCCTAAGCAGCCAGCAGGACTCCAATTTACAATACCTCCTGGTATTAAAACAGGGACTTTAAGAAGCGCTGGGTGTTTTCAACAGGAACACTGGTACAGTCTTGTAATTAGAGCTCCTCGCCACAGACGTAAGTTACCATAGTAACTTAACGCAGATTTTATTTAATTAGGGCTAAATCCTTTTATATAATTTCATTAGTATGCTAAGTGATGTACTCTGTTGGGATAAGCAATGACAACATCAAAATATTCTTGTGTTTAACATCTTGTGTTTTGCAGCTCAGTGACAACCAGTCAGCTCAGGTGCAGCTTCAAGCTGACGGATGCGAAGGACCCCGCGGCCGTACGGACAGGGGAGCGTGACTCAAACCGCAGTACGCGCTGCTGGTGTGTACAGAGCAACCGGGGGGGAACTCACTGGACAGGACAGCAGCGAGCACGTGCAATTGTAGGTGTGCTTTAACCCACGGTCTCCCCGCCTCCGACTACTCTCCCTGGCAAGAAATTCCTCCCACACTACCATTTTTTTTAAATATGCGTTTCTGTACATTTTTTTAAGCAGATTTTTGGCTGTCCTTGGTACAATCTGCTATTACAGTTGTCATAGGAATTGCAGAGGAACCTGCACTCTGTTCTGAAGAAAAGGATGTTTATCTTTTCAGTATTATTAAAAAAGCAAACTGACATTCCTGAATATTCCCTGGTAAAATGACTACTTTCCAAAAGTTCACTGAATGGCTAAGGATGGTGGGATTCCAGAGATCTGATCACCACACAGATAAGATACACTACGGTAACGCATTTCATCGCTCCCCACCCCAGCCCCGGGGAATGCCAGAACTGTCCCTGGCACCCTGCTGCTGAAGAGCTCTTTGTAGATGACACCTCAGTTCAGGTAATTCCGTACCTGCCAGCAGCTTCTTCCTGACACTGCTGCTAAATTTTACTGCAGTCTTTTTCATTTTAACATTCATTATATTTTTTTTTAATCCAGAAAAATTTCCAGGGAACTAATTTACTTGATCTTGGGAATCAGATATTTCCAATGAATGGTATCTTTCCTTCACCATGCCTAGATTCTTGCAACATGGCCAGGATTTTATGAATTATTGCTTTACTACAGCCCTTCTTAGTCATCTCAGTCCTCTCTCTCCAGAAAAAGAGCCACAAATGGAGCCACCGCCTCACCCCAGACTGCTGCAGCGAGACTTTCTGCCCACCAAACCCTGCAAACCTCCGCAAACAGGTGGGGACCGTGGCCCCCTGCTCAGCAATATTCCAATTTACTGACCTCCCACACGTCGTAACAGGCAATAAGGGCCCTGACGGTGACTAAAAGCACCGAGGGACTAAAGACAGCCAGATTGCAAATATTCCTGTACAAGACTGATGTATGTCATTTAAAAAAAACCCCAAACACCACAACCTAATTTTCACATTGAATTATTTATAAACCAGTCACTGTCACATCATAATTTTTAAGGTTGAAGGTGTGTTCCTTTGATTCTCCTCTGAAGTTTAACCCTTCTCTTTCCACCTGACTGAATTCCCCAAAATCAGATATTCTTCCAACCACGGTACTTCAATCCTACAAGTCCCTCGGTGCATCTTCCAACCCAGCACATCCCACAAGCCTGTTTGCCACCTTTTGCAAAAAGGTACTTAGTAAAAATAAACCAATCCAGCCGCGACTGTCCAGTGAGGAAGTGCCAGCAGTGACCCGTCCCCAGGCTGCGATCTCAGCCTTCAGCGCTGCCCACTCGCCCACCCGCCAGCTCACGTTTATCTCCACCTTCTCCTGACTCGGGAGGCAATTCCCCGAGAGCCCTTCATTGAAATCTGCCACATCCCCTTGCTCTGGAAAAGGAGCTGTCAAATCCAGCACGTTATCATTTACCTTCTATAGACCCAGGCGAGACTAACCCACGCTCTGTTTAACTTTTTGCTTACTGATATGAATTCATTCAAAATTTGGGGTGAGACACTGCACGCCATGGAATTAAAACCAAGGCTTGTATTTGCCTAGATAATTTATCCCTTTTTAAACATAGGCATTAGTTAGAACTACCTTCGATTTCACGGACATTTTAAAACCATTCCTATTATTGCATAAAATGAGGGCGTTAAACTGCGGCTGATCTCTGTGCAGCTGGCTGTCAGGATTTTTTTTTTTCTCTTCCATCATTTTTGAACACTAAGTCCAAGTCAGTTCCTGCAGAACTCCGCAGACGCCAATCAGCAATATTTAAGGCTAATAATAATTTGTATGCAAATAAAAATAAAACAACTTCAAGGCTTTACTACAAATCTTAGAATAAGTAGAAAACATACTCCTGTAGGAGTAGGGCTTCTTTGGGTACACGTGCGTGTTTATTGATGATGCTATAAGATTAAACATCTCTCAGGTATATGCGTGGATCAAAGGTATGGTAAAAAAAAATCCCCAAAGATTACCGCAGTCATAAGCAAGTGAAGTAAGTTAACATGTAATCACTATGCAGTGATGTGTAAATAACAATTAGGAAACATACTCCTGTAGGAGTAGGGCTTCTTTGGGTACACGTGCGTGTTTATTGATGATGCTATAAGATTAAACATCTCTCAGGTATATGCGTGGATCAAAGGTATGGTAAAAAAAAATCCCCAAAGATTACCGCAGTCATAAGCAAGTGAAGTAAGTTAACATGTAATCACTATGCAGTGATGTGTAAATAACAATTAGGAAAAAAAAAAATCCCCAAAACCCTAATACCAAAGATCTCTGTAATGAAATCAACTGAACTGGTATCCCTACAGAAATGTAAGAATCCTGACATAAAGAAAAATTAATGCAATCCAAAGAAAGGCAAAAACGTTGTATGCTTTAAATGTAAGCACAGAAACATAATTTTGAGTACATTTGTGAGCAAACTGTGCTCCTAAAATAAGTTAACATAGCCAAACAGCTAAGGAATATTGAAAAGCAGAGAGATAGATTTTCAATCTGTTTGCCAGGTGATTAGGGATTTACATACCCCAAATTCCACTCACCAACATGCAGAATTAATTTCAATGTCACAGTGTGCTTCTGAAAATAATCCCACAGGCACGCAACCTTCCCAGCCTCGCTGGGAGTTACACGCCGTCGTACCCGTAATTACACGGCACCGGTCTTCCCGTCATGCAGATCAGCGATCCCACGAAAACCCTTCACTCGAACATGTTTACCTGCTCTCTCACACCTATAATTTTGCAGCTGGAAGTTGAGACCTCGCATACAGTCAGGCTGAAAAATTGCTTATTAATAACCCTTTGCGCATAGCTGGCGAAGCTTCGTCACTAGCCTTCGGCCTCATCGGTATTTACAGCAAAAGCAGCGGCCACGGGATGTTACTCCTGGTCCGTGCCGGGGGGCTGTGGCTTGGCCGTGCCCACTTCCTCGCACCGAGACTTGCTGTACGATGCGGTGGCCTGTAATAGCTATATTATAGGGGCTACAACAGCAGCATCTCTATAGACCAGCTACTACACTAAGGTACAAGGGAATTAAACATCCTCGCTCCTCCTTCATTTACTGTAAGACTTCCTACAACAGTAAATCCAGAAATTTCAGAAGCTGAGAACAACGTATTAATCCATCACGCTACTTGGGAGACACACCTGGAAGCATTTGCACACCCTCTTCTGCACTTCTAACAGCTTCCAGAAAACCAAAAGTAAACAGCATCTCATTCCTGTTAGAGGACACATTTGCTTTCTCTAGCCTTGCGTTGGCCTATTTGGATTATTCTGAAAAATAATATTTTTCTTTTTTTTTTTCTGATGGACAGATTATTTTTAATACCCTTTCCAAAGCTTTATGAGCTCCGTTCTGACTACCAAGTTTTCAGGGCATTCCCTGATTGGGAAAAAACACAGCATTTAATAGGAAATTAAAAATGTTTAAGGAATTCTATAAATAAAAATATGGTAAGTATTTATGAATAAATGGGATTTTCATAAATGAGATTCCTGCCAGGATGATGATGATGATGATTTTCCCAGTTGCTGTTATGAAAAGACATCCTCCAAAAGGCGTCAGTAAAGCAAGGAGCAGCAGCGCAGCTAAAAGACGAAACACCGATTTACCCAGAAATTGGGAAATTGTACACAGCCGCACACATCCCCACGCTAAAGGGCACTTCGTAACAGGTTTTGAGGACGCAGGGATGAACAAGAAGGGGGTGGTGGTTTTGTTTTCTGAATACCAGACCAACAAAAAAAGCCAGCCCTCTCCCGTCTGATGATAAAAACACCCAACGCACCAAGAGCCCTCTGGCTGAGTCCCATCAGTCACCTCCCAGAACAAGGCTTAGTCTCCCTGTTTTCCTGACTGCAACGGGGCATTCCGGAATCTTGCCGGCTAATTGCAGCTTTGCAAGGCGGCTGCTGGCAGAACCTCCCCAGCCCCTGGGCACTCTCTGCTACCCATTTTCTGCAGCTGTTTTACATCAGGTGGGGGTTTAGAATCATAAAATTGTAGAACGTCCTGAGTTGGAACGGACCCATAAGGATCATCGAGTCCAACTCCTGGCTCCCCACAGGCCCGGCCGAATCAGAGCATGTGACTGAGAGCATTATCCAGACACTTCGTGAACTCAGTCAAGCTCGGTGCTGCGACCACTTCCCCGGGGAGCCTGTTCCAGTGCCCGACCACCCTCTCAGTGAAGAACCTTTTCCTGACATCCAACCTAAACCTCCCCCGTCGCAGCTTCATGCCGTTCCCTCGGGTTCTATCACTGCTCACCAGAGGGAGGAGATCAGTGCCTGCCCCCTCGCTCCCCCTCGGGAGGGAGCTGTAGGCCACGATGAGGTCTCCTCTCAGTCTCCTCTTCTCCAGGCTGAACAAACCAAGGGACGTCAGCCTCTCCTCGCATGTCTTCCCCTCTAGACCCTTCCCCATCTTTGCTGCCCTCCTTTGGACACTCTCCAACAGTTTTATGTCCTTTTTGTACTGTAGCGCCCAAACCTGCACACAGTACTCGAGGTGAGGCCGCACCAGCACAGAGTGGGACAATCCCTTCCCCAGACCGGCTGGCAACGGCGTGGTGAGGGTGGCCTGCCTGGCGGCCTGGGCACGCTGCTTGGATTCACAGGCCTCCATATTTTACTGCCCCAGCCATACCTGATGTACGTGGCTATTCGCTGGGTTTTCTTTACAGACGAGGGCTCTATACACCAGGAAGGAGCAGGCAGGGCTGCCGGGCATTGCCGGGGTAATCTCCCGGCACTGGAAGCGCATCGTTGCATTTCTGTTCTTCACGCCGTGCCCTCTTACCGGGCCGATGCGCGCGTGCCAGGCTGGTAACACTTCTTGAACTTTACATGGGAAATTCTTCCAAAGACATAAAATGACCTTCTCTAGTATGACGCCCAAAGAGTTCTGCAGAAAATTCATGTGCTTCCATTCCTCGCTTCGCCCGCCTCAGTCTTAATGAGTAAAACGAGAATAACGGCAGAGCTTTTATCACCAGGGCTTTCTGCTGAGAGCACGGCTACTGTAGGTCTTTGTCATTCCACAAATTCTAAGTTAAAGCTGACACTAGGATCTCAAACAATATTCTCATAAAATTTATATAAGTTAAGCCCATTGCTGGCTTACTCACATAAACATTGAATAGAATTCAAGTCCAATTTGAAGCAGGACTCAATATATAATTAGGGGGAGAAAAAAAAAAAAAAAGGACGAACAAAACCTCAAAGTATTTTTTATATATATATATTCACATTTTACATGAATTTTGGAAGTGCCCAGGAAGCAGAACCAGCAAAACCGTCCCAAAGGTAGAGGTATCAGCTCCACCTGCACTACACGCGGCCGCAAACCCGAAATCATCCCGACCGGGAGCTGGCTGCCCCACGCCGCTGCCACGAGCCAGAGCAGAACAGCACTAGGTGAAGACAGAACAGCACCGTTAGATTGCTAAACTCCTCAGGAAAGGTTTGCAAAATATATTAGCATTATTCGAGCAAGAGTATGCATTAAGAATATCCTATTTAGGGCATTTCTTTGGCGGATGCTGGAAGCTGAATGCACGCTCACACGCTGCTCTCAGCAGAAGATCAAATGCTTTCTGCCAAAATGAATCTATTACGGCAGGGAGCAGGAAAAAGCCGTGGGATTGTAAATTCTTTTATTCAGCTGCATTTACATGGACTGACAGAAAAATGATCAGTATTTGTGTCTTTGTTAACAAAAATAGCCGCTGCCAAAAGGAGCCCATGGAAAATCACCTTCTGTATATTCTCCAGTAGGGACTCTGACAAAAATCGCCTTGTTTTGTCCCCGTGTATCGGAGTTGGCTTTTCAGGGATTATCATTTTTATGAAGAAAACCCAGTGTTCTTCCAAAAGGAGAGCTAAACATTTTAGACTCTTCCCTGGCGAGACCAGGATCTTTCCGCAGTAACGACTCGAAACAGGTCCTGCACAAGCTCTTCTGTAAGCGATAAGAACGCTGGCAATAACAAACGGCCCCGAGGTTCCCTCCGGCAGGGTTCAACGTGCATCGGCAACTCTGGTCTTAAAACCTCGGTGAACTAGGTGAACTTCACCGAAATCACACACTCTGATACTCGGTGAAACACAAACAGTGGTGATGCACAGATTTAGTCGGCGAGAGGCAGGTATTTAATGCTTAAAAAGCCATGCTAAGCAGGCTCTGCTCTATGGGCCACTTCTAAAGATGAGAAAAACAAGCCTATAACAGGCTTAAGGTAAAAATAAGCTCCTATATAGGGGCCTACATACATCTGAGGAATATTCTTAGGGGTCTATACACCAAAAAATGTTGGAATCCAGTGAATTAAAACATTAAGGGTCAGGAGAAGTCATTCGATCCTTCTATCACAGGAAAGTGAACAATTACAGAAAATGGCCTGAAAATGCTTTCAATTTCTCAGGTGATCTTTAGAAATACTTGCTTCACAATAATCTTCAAGTAGTTTCTGTCAATAGAAAACAGTCTACCAGCCCTGCCTGAAGACAAAAGATGGGGGGGGAAGGAAAGATGGATATCCCTGTGATGTGCTATGGGTACTAGGTAGGTAACCCAGGGTTTATTTTGCATGCTCACTTAAAGTGCATAAATTACGATACATCAGAGAGGTTCAAAGTCATTTTCAACATCCTTTCTAACAATTACTTATCAAAGGCTCAATTTTCCAATTTTCCTTTACATCTAAATGACAATTACTAAATGCAATTCCCTCAAAGAGATTTGATTCTTGCCATGGGCAATGCACCTACCCCCAGCAGAAATACAGGCACTGTTCTGCAGGATGTGAAATTTCTCTGTGAGCTTGGTTCTCACACAGAATAAAAATCCCAGCCAGAACTTGCAAGTTTGTGATGACATACACTTTCAAAGACTTCTATTAAAACATAGGTTTGAATTATTTTTTTTAAACTATATACATTTGTACTTTGTTTTTGTCATTAGCATTTGCACTAGCTCACAGAAAGCCTCGTTTCTTTATAAAAAGAACAATATTACTAAAACAGGTATTATTCTGAAAGTTTTAAACTTTCCAAACAGTAATAAAATATTTCATGCAGTAAAAAGGACCAAAACACCCCCACACATCTTGAGAATTTAAATTAACCCGTGACTTGCATGACAGCTAAAAGCAGAAGCACCCTGTCCCCAGCGCGGGAACCGTTACAGCACAACTGTGTTTGTCGACAGAAAATGAAGGAAAACGGCAATTACCCTAAAAGACATTTCAAGATTCTCGCCACCCCAGATATCCATTCCTGCATCGTAAGTTCCTATCTCTTCAAAGTAGTTTCTGTCAATAGAAAATAGGCCACCAGCCATAGTAGGGGTCCTAGTTGAAAACAAACAGAAAAAAAAAAAAGAGGAAAAAGAAAAGAAAAGAAAAAATACCTTTTGAAAGACACTGTGGAATTTATCACGTGACACTACAGTACATTTCACTACCTCAGACATTTTGACTATAAATGTATTCTATGCACAGCAACTTAAATATAAACTACTAACAGTAGTAACGCGGTTTCGGCTGCATGCTCTGCGCCTGCCCCTCGGGCAGAGCTCCCCCGAAGCCGAGGAGAGCGCTGCCCGAGCGAGACCCGCAGCGTTGCTTCCTACCCGCAAAATCACATTCCCATAGGTTATTTCAGGAGCATTATAATGGTAAAGTGGATGGAATTTTGGCCTTCTGCATCCAGAACAGCAGTTTAAATCCAATCTGAAATGCTTAGTGAAGAGAGTTTAATGCCTCGGCTTTGCCTTAGAGGGAGACTAAATGTGCATAAAATTACCAGGCATAATCTCTCTTAACAGGATTATAAATCCTTACAACAGGCAAATCCAGTCAGAGTGCAACTTCTCTTTGTGTAAAGATGTCCTATTTCCCTGTAAATATCTGCTCTACGGTTTTTTCCCAGCATTTAGAGCCTACGTGAGATGGAAAAGGCTCGCCCCAGTTACAGCACCCTCTGCGGTAGCACACCCACGCACACCCACCGAGGCACAGCCCTCTGGCGAGGGGTACGGCGCCCGCGGGCTTTGCCGGTGAGCAGCTCCGGGCACGTTACCCGTAGCTGGGGACCAAGCCTCGCCGGTCACGGATCAGGCGTGTTTCTGTCCTCGGCTTCACAAACAACCGTACAGCAGGCGAGACTGGATTTTGAAAACGCATAACCTAGGGCCAGCTCAACACGTGCAAGCGCAGACACACACGCCAGTAACCACGGTCTGTCTGCAAAGGATTCGGTCACAAAGCTGAACTCGTTCATTCAGTTACTTTATTTAGTAAACTGCTTGGAACATCCCACACCCCGTGCACCAGCCTCTGCTCCCTGCCTCTGTGCAAGCGCAGCATTTCCAGCACCGGCACTCCTGCCCAGCTTCCACGAGAGCTCCTGTGTTTGGAGACAGCCCTACGCAAACAGTGGTGACATGAAGCGAGTTCCTAGAATTTGTCCCAAAACCAGCAAAGCGGGTCACACGTAACGCAGGGGAAAGCTGGAAGAGGGGCTTCACCGGTGCTCCCGCCCGGGGCAGAGCCTGAATCGCTCAGGCATCTCTCAGATCTTCCTCGAGTAGCTTTTGTATGTGCTACACGCAACTTGAATTAGCTCATGCACCCCCCTATTTGCACCCACAATTGCCATGTTACGTTACGGTCAGTGTGGGTGTTACACACACTCAGGGCGCAGGTGCTCGGGGACCGTGGGCACGGTGCTGTGCTGGCACTGACACAGCCCCGCCAGGAAGGAGTCCTCGCTCACTCTCAAACTCGACAAACCCAGGGAATTTGTCTGCTGCGCAACCACTTCCCCTTCTGCCAGAGCCGACTGTCGTTACTCCCAGAAAAAAAAAAAGCAGCACAGTTTAGCGATGAAATACCACCGGACCCTGAGTTTACCAACACCTCATCTCTATTTTTCTCCCTGTGCTCTCAGCGCTGAAAGCTCAGCTAGTTATCTGTCTGTCATTCGGACAGGGCTAAACCTTCCCAGGTTTCAAAGCCGCTTTGCGGCCCTCCGCCTTGCTGGGTTTCTGCCACAGACGGTGGTGCTGGCCCCCGACCCGCACTGCGGCGAGCGGAGCAGGTGGGGACGGCTGGGCGGTGAGACCCTCCACGTGACCGCTATCGTGACGTTAAACACCATCGAGTGCAGGGAGCACAAAACAAAGCCGCCTGAAATCCTTCTTAATTGAACTGGTTTTGCGCCAGATGGTTACCAATGTAAAAATACTATATTTAGAAGACATTTCTATCATCGATTACCTAGAAACTCTGTAAGTCTGTGCAAAGCCACTTACTTACACCGATACGGAAAGCCGTGCCCGTCCTGGGTTGACTCACCTGCCTGACCGCTGGCCCAGCTCCCACAGGACTCCCAGCAACTCACCAACACTCTGATGAGCCGGTGCCTGGCGCTGCGGGAGCAAACCTCCGCTCCCACCCCCAGTAACCTCACTGAAGGGGTCCCACTGGTTTCAGACAAATAACATCATCCCCATCCTCTGTCTGCAACAGAAACCCTCCTCCTCTGCCTCCCCTCCTTCCTCCTGCTCCTCCTGTCATTTCTTTCCCTGGAGGAAGGCAGCCTTTGCTTGAATTGTATGAAATTTCCCATTTTTTGCAAAGATTCGGTCTTAAACAATTTTTAAACGATGCAACTGAATTGCACAGACAGATCTGGACTCTTCTGAAAAGTCATCAGCAACTGTTTATGAAAAACAGCGTTTCCCTAATAACTCACTGAAATGAGAAGCGCTGGGTTTCACGCTGTAAAAGGAAAGTAACTACGCACCAATATGTGCCACGGATTCCCACAGAGCGGACCCGCAGGAGGCAGGCCTACTCTCTGTTATGGGCATTTGACGTTACACAAACAGACCTGCAGAGCGCTCTCCGTAAAACCAGCTGCAACAGTAACATTAGCAAGAGTAAGGTTCCTCCCGTTTCTTTCTCAGCTTTATGCCTATTAGCTATATTTTGCTACTTGGAGTCATACTAACAACTCCAGTAATGTGTTATGATTAACTCTAATCATCACTCAAACCCACTTTTAATTTTATTTTGGAGATAACATCTGCTTCTCCTTTCTGCCATTATTAGGAGCGAGCAGGATTCCCGTTCCCATACCGGCATGGACTTCCCACAACAAAAGGGCACCGCAGCATCGCGCCGACCCCCCAACCCCAGCCCAGCACCGGTGCCGGGGAGGGAAAGCGAGGAGGGGCTGGCACGGAGCCGCTCCCGAGGGGACCCCAGACCCTGGCGGGGACGCTCAGGTCAGGTCCCCCGGGGCAGGAGCTGCCCAAAGCCACGGAACGTCACCTCACCCCGCTTCCTCCAGCCTGCCCAAGGGGTCCGACTGCCGCAAGGGCAGCATCACTGACAAACACCCCCACTGTCTGTACGGCTTGGAATAAGGTTTTTACACCAGTTTCAAACACATCATCCAGGCAGTATTAATTGTAGTCAACTCTGAGTTTAATCAGCCACCATAAGAAGATAAAGACAAGATGCTCCTAATATTTGATCTTGTATTTTTCCTCTCAATAACGAATTTATAGTTGAGAAAAGATTTTCTGGAACAAATTTATTTTTTTTTAGTATTTATAATACTAGCCTGGAGTGTCTTCAGCTTAAAAAAACTGAAGGGCAAGTACGGAAATAGCCATAGAAATGTGCTGTGCAGAGACTGTAAATGCCCAGCACAGAAACACTTTATGTCTTTAATACTGTAGATGTAAGCAGACAAGATGCTTGTAAACTGACCTTAGCACAGACAAGTTTTCTATTGCCGCAGGAAAATTCGCAGAAGGACAAATGAGTTCACTTAAAGCCAAAGGATGTTCTGCAAAGCACAAATACTGTGCAAGGATCTTTCAGTGGAAAAAGAAGAATTAAAGGTTTAACAAGACCACTGGCTTTAGCTGGCACTACCCAGGAGCGTTCCCCACTGAACCAGACCAGACCTGAGGAGGACCCGCACTGCCCAGAGCTCCCCGCCCTCCTCCTGCCCAGATCTACCCACAGCCCCCGATCAGCCGCGGGAAGCTTTAGCTTTAACCTGCTCCACCTCTGCACAGGGCAACAACTGTCCAATCCAGGTTTTGCTCCCCGAGAGCCCTCTGGGACCAGCGACGGGCTTTGTGCTTAAAAGAACACACTTTGACAAGGTCTAACTGTTTACAACGCCGGAGGTTACTCCGGTGACAGTGGAAGTTACAGCATTTACTCCAGGTGGAAACAAGATAAAATCCCGAGGTGCCTCAGAACAGCAATGGATAGCCTCTGCTATTCAAACAGAAGAAAATACCCGTTGACATGAGTCCTGGGGGGTTGCTGTCCCCTGGGAGTAAGGAACGTAGCCCTAAAGCATCACCTGGAAGCCCCTGCACGCCCCACGGCTCAGCTAACATCTGCACTCAAAGCCACGGGTCAGATCTGATTTCTGAAAACAAATAGGTTTCAACTGATCCTAACGAACCCCACCGAATGAAATATTTGTCTTGAACAGCTCCATCTCCAGGAACAATCTTTTCTGCAGGGATTTCTTCTAAACGTCCCCTTCCTGTTCTCACTTTATAGTTTCAGGCCTGGCGAGGGCACCTCATGAACTGAAAGCTCCCTGATCTTACTTTTGCTTCTGATCATTGCACGTGTAAAAAAATTCTCATTCCTTTTAAAAAAAAAAAAAAACAAAAAAACCACCAAACCCAAACCCCAAGAAATCCCAGTATCCGATGACCACCGAGTTCCATCCTCTGTTCCCCCAGGATGGGGAGCGCTGAGAGGTGGCACGACCTGCTGCCCAGGACAACTCCCCGTCACAAGCGCTGCCCACCTTCATCCACCACCCGCACACTGGAAAGGCTTTTGCTACCTTCACAAAACCTGCGACTCCCTGGGGGGACAGTTACCATTTTAGACTGTTCTGGGAAAGGTTACGCTATCGTGGTGTTAGCTGACCTGAGAGAAAACTGGATGAAGGAAGAAGAGAAGGAGAACAAGAGAAGGGACGTCAGACTGAGGTTTAAGGACCAGAAGAAGAAACAAAGGGGCAAAAGCAGTAGGGACTACTGCTAAAAATACAACAAATGCTCTAACTTTTCCAATGGATGTCAGTAAGAAAGCTCTTTTACAGCTCTACCGCATGACAATTAGCTGTGGGGTTCTAATATCAGTCACTGAATTAATTAACCTTTCCCACTAAATCTAGAGATGCCAACAAAGGCGGATCTTTGACTCAAATACCCAAGAATTTAACAGGCAAACAAGCCTGCAGCGTTTCGCATCCACCAACTAGAAAGAACCAGGCACCTTCTCGTGAGAGCACAGCACCTTCCACCTTCGCCTTCCTTGGGGTTAATGGTCACAGCCCGTGCGATGCCTGAACGCTGTTCATGCTGGCTCTAATCAGTCAGCTATCCCGACCTTCTCCATAAAAATTCGATAATACAAATTATACATAAATAATAAGTTGTGTATAAAATAATTCATAGTTTGAGAAGGTGTGCATTATGATTTTAAATCTAAAAAGCAAAGGTAGGAATTTATCAGTGTTGTTATGGAAGATAAATATTTTGAGTGAAACTTTTGTCAGTTATGTGGATTGCTAATGTAACAAAAAGCAGAATTGGAGTGCAACGGTTATATTATGTATACGTGCAAAGAAACATGTAAGCCAATGATGTTTATATAGTCCGTACTTATTCCATTGATCACAAAGAAAAAATATGAATACAGACATATTCAATCTACACAAGACTGAAAAAAAATGCAGAAAGCAACATGGAACAAAAAAAAAACCCCAATGAACTCACCATTTTGTTTCTAAATTTTTGGTATGGGTTAGGCTTTTGTTTATTTTTATCCCCCCATTTCTTGAATATTCAGGCGGCAGCAGCTGCCAAAATCATTCTTCATTTAGGTGGAATATTATACTCCTTCTCCTTGGATGCAGAATTTGCGATTGCATTTCTGAGACCTGAGGGCTGCTGGACCGCGGCAGTCCCGGGACTGCTCTGGATAAGCATTTGGCAGAATCAGCTGGCTGCCCGCCGACAGCTCCTGCTGACTTGTCGATGGTGTTTCCTGCAGGAAAGCTGTTACACCTGGGCTGCTCCTGTCGGCTCAAAGGGGAAATGAAAGAGGGAACACCTTCTTCTGGCACAGAAGAGGCTGAAACATCTCCCTGCGTGCTCAGAAAGGGCAGCTCTACATCTAAGAGCCGGCACTTTGGTCTTAAGGCAGCACAGTAACATCCCCCAGAGCCACCTCTTCACTCCACAGCATTTGTGTGAAAGTGATAATTACGGGGCACGTGGCGCCTGGCATTCCCCTCTGGCTCCTCCACCCACGCTCTGCTCACTAACATCTGGGAGAATCCCAAAAATCCCAGCTAAGAGCTGGGGGCGGGGAAGAAAACAGAAAGAGCTATTTTGCTGTTGTAATAATTTTAAGAGTCAATTACACGTCTGATTCTGGATTAACTTTAAGTACTATTCCATTTCAAGATAAGGAAATAAGAGCTCGGATTTGCATTTCCTTGAAAAGTGCCCGTGTCTGTGCACGGATTCGGCACGGGAGACACAGGACAAACAGCGCACAGCGAGTGATGTGGCGTGAGGCTGTGCGGCTCGTTAGGGTAATTAACTCTACCGATTTTAACGCACACCTCAGCTTTAATGAAGCAGCTGCTGGCAGGCTTCACAGCCGAGTGCTAACATTTGAGCTGATGAGAAACGCAGCGCTATTGCCTCGAGACCTGCTCCATCCCCTCGGCTAACGCCGGGGTCGGCTCCTGCCCCTGGGCACCCTGCTCGCTTTGCCTGAGAACCAAAGCGGAAAAACCCAGCCCTTCCCTGACTCCAGGCTTTCCAGGACAAACGGTGACAGACTGGGGCCGTTTTCTGGCACAAGGCATTTTGGAAGGCTTTTCTTCGCTCACCCACTGCCTTACCTGGAAGCGTTTCGCAAAGCTGCGCTGCTGTCCCCTGAGTTGGCTCTCCCTTTATCTGCCTGTTGCACACAATCGGGGCTATGCAGGACTGGAATTCTCTCCACTTCATCATGTCTCTCACACAGGTTTGAAACCATTACATCCACTTGTGAAAGCTCTTTTTTTTTTACTTTTTTTTTTTTTAACTTTTCATGAAGACCACAGAAGCTATTAGAGCTGAGCAAATAACCCACTGCAAGTAATTTATTCAATTTGTTCTGTTTCAGCTTCATTTAATTTTTTTCTAGAGGTTTTGTTACAGTCTGTGGTTTGAGCAATTAAATGAAAGAGGTCAGGACGTTCTCTTAGATCATTTTTGAGCCAATGTGCATAGTCATCAATTTTATTTTCTAGGCAATAAAAGCATGCAGTTTAAGTGCAAGCTATCATAACCAAATCCTCGGGTTCGGTGTTCCAAAAATGTGTATTTCAGAAAGATGTTCTAATATTTGCCTTAAATTATGAAAAACCCGTAACATCTGTAAACACGAGGTCGACAGGCTATTTGCCGAAAACACACATAGAGGGAACTTAAAAAGCAGGTAGTATTTTGAATCACTGAGTGTCAAACAGAAGATATAAATGAGTTCTCTCAGCTCTGATAACTACATTGCAGCATTAAGGACAGGTCAGATTCTGGTCTTCTCTACCCTGAACTGTGTGCCACAACTACCTGCCATGCGTTCTCGGATACCGCAGCAAAAGCTTGGGTACTGGGCGTTATTCTCTCCATAAACAAGCACGCGGTGCAGCCAAATGCCGCGGGACTCTCGCTGCAGCCTCCTTACCTGACAGGCAAGGTCCTGTCTCCTTTCCTCCTGTCCATCTCCCTCTGGGGAACCGGATACCAGCGGAAGTTGAGCTTCCAGTTAAATCCTCCGTAAGTCATGTCTGACCCGGCCATGTATTCAAACGTGTCATCACTGATCACGTCAATGATTGGGCAGACAACAGTTTTCCTGTCAGAAAGAAAATCAGCTTTTTAAAACACGAGCACTTTTCACGTCAGTGTGCCGAATATCCCGTTGCTTTATTTTGAGGCTTCTCTGCACAAACCCCCCCCAGCAGCACCCCGCGCAGGGCTGCTCCTGCCCTGCTCTCCGCGACTTTCGGGACACATGGACTCCTCGCTGCGCTCCCGAGAGCTGGAAGCTGCAACCCGGGGCTGCCAAATCCTCCCGGAAAGGCAGGAGAGACCCAGCAGCGTGAACTACCCGTACTGAGAAACTCTCCTCGTTGTTCCTTGCACCCTTCTACGACCGGCAGTGTCAGGATGAACACCACGGAGGCTGTTTTTGCTCAGGACTCGAGCAGTGCTGGTTTTATCACAAATGCACATATCTCTTGTGGAGCACTCGCAACACCTTTCATAAATGGGAATATTCCCATCTCGGATGTGTGCGCTTTGGCTGGTGCTGCCCACGCGTGCGGGGCTGCTCCTCCGTCCAGCGGAGCAAGGACCTCGGCTGCTGCAGCGCTGCCAGGGAGGAGAGCACAGGCTTTGGGTCTCACTTGCAGAGTCTTTATGCACAAAAAAGGGGAAAATTGCATTGTCTACTGAAAAGAAAAAAGAAAAAAAAAAGAGGGGAAAAAAAGAACAAGAGGGGAAAAAAGAAAAGAAAAAAGAGGGGCAAAAAAAAAAAAAGATTGCAAATTTCACAGAGCATTGGAGATCACATTGAGAAAAAGTCATGCCTGGTAGAAAGAAGGGTGAAGGATGGCCATGAGGGCAGGAGACACCTAAACCTTGCGCAAGCAAATGGCACAAGTCACTATTGTGACTGGCGTTATTATTCTTACTGTCAACAATAACCCTGTCGTAAGAATCAAAAGCTTACCATATATTTATCTAGAAATCAGATTTTAATACAAATATTAGAGAATACCCTATCTTGCTGGTAAAAAAATAAATTAAAGCACAGTCCTCATTTTCAGATCAATTTGAGCCGCACACTGAAACCAAGGAAGAGCCTGGGGCAGGAGGTCCCCCGCGCCCGCAGAGCCACCCTTACCTGTCCTCCTTCACGCGGGCCAGCAGCGGCTCCCGCCAGCCCAGGGTGCACTCGCAGTGCGCGTCCAGGAACGTGATCACCTGCCCCGTGGAGGCTGCTGCCCCGCGGAGCCGTGCGCGGATCAGTCCCGACCTCTGCTCCATCCGGATGATTTTTACGGAGACTTCCAGATTTTTCACGTAATTCTCTAACGAGGCCTTCAAAAATTCTGCCAGAGATAATTGGGGGGGGGGGGGGGGAAACAACAACAAACAAAAACCAGAATATAAACATTATTTTTAGCTAGGTTCAGCAACTACTGAGGACTCCAAATATAACCGCAGGGTTTATGCATCATGCTCACCCCTCCAAGGACTGCCATGCGCCAACACTGCCGTAACACGGGAGATGCATTTTGACATATTTAGAGTTTTTCTGAAGAGGGAGAGCTGAGCTATGGCCGTTCACACCGGCATTCTGTTCAGTGCAGCCACGCGGAAACCAGCCCGTACATACGTACACGCTGCCGGAGCAGCTCGGGAAAATGTCACAGAAATTTTAAATAAGTTCTTGAAATAAAGCAGCAATCAATAGTGAGTGCAAAACAACTACACTTTTGCTAATTTGTCTACGGATAAATACAAATACGGTGATTTTTGATGAATTTCACCATTTGAGTCCTTTAGGAATCCGAAATTTTGCTTTTAGGAAAACTGTAATTACTTGGGCTAAAGTCTTCCTCCACCGCCTGGCACAGAGAAACATTAAGCAGGGAAATCCAGGAGAGCAGTCAGAGTTCGGTTAATGCCACATGGGGCAGAAATAAAGGACGACTTAGCTTGCATCCTCTGTCCCTTGAACAGTCGCAACTATACGTCCTATTTACGTACATTAAATACGTTATATACATTTAGCTACTCCAGGAAAAGTTATCATTCCATTGGTTCCATGTATAGAATGTAATGCGATTTCTTTTCCAGGTAATATCAGTTTTGCATGCAGATAGTTTTCTTTCTAAACTCTATTTAAAAAAACAAACATCAACAACAAAAACATGACGAAGAAAAAAGCCAAGACCAAAAGAAACGAAGCACAAATACAAGAAATACAAGGGAAGTGGCTCAGTTGGGGCACCCAGGAAAACCCGAAACACAGACCAGGGGTTTTTGAGAGACAGCAAGAGAAAGACAGCGAGTGATGTGAACAGGAACCGTCTTTTACAGTAATGCGAAATGCTAAACCGCAGTGCAAAACAGCACGAACGGAATTCCGGCTAGGAGCCCATACACACAACTTACTACCTGATAACCTTCACCTCTGCTGCTACCTGCAGGCTCACTTACACCACCCGTACCTACGAGAGCCCGGCAGCCATCGGAGACGCTTGGCAAGAGGGAGCCACGCTTCACAACCCCTTCTGCAGGATGCCGAAACGCGGTGCTAAACTGACGCGCGGAACGGACCCCCCTGCCCAGACCCACCTCTCTCGCTGGCATCGTCCACCAGGATGATTTCAGAAAGCAAGCGGTGCGGCGAGCGATTTATAACGCTGTACACGGTCCGGAGCAGAGTACTCCAGGCTTCGTTGTGAAACACAATCACGACGCCCGTGTTGGGCAGGTCGTCGGGGTAGACTTTGGTCTTGCACCTGCCAAAAAATACAGAAAATACACACAAGGAAAGGGGGGGTTAAGCTTTCAGAAAATTTTAAAGAGCTCTACCAAGGGCCATGGAGCCTGTTGAGCAGGATACGTGTGAAGTGGTTACTGATCTCCTCAAGCTCCCAAAGCAGAAGCCCAAAGGCAGAGGGAACTTCAAATTCTGTTTTCTTGCTAAGAAAACACAGCAGAGTATCCAGAGGAAGGTGCGCTGCCACGTTCACAGCTCCCTTGGACCCTCACTCCTGCTTGGTACCCCGAGAAATCGGCGTCAACGTGCCCCGACATCGTGCACAGAAACTCTTAGCTGCAAGCAGGACATGGGGCCTTTAATATCAAGTGGATCGAGCGGTTACAGTTAGGTCAAATAAGTCTTTTACTGTGACAGATCCCAAATTCTACAGTTTGAAGCAGGGATTCCTGTCTTGGGTGGAGAAGAAAAAAATTACTACTGTCTAGAACACTCTATATGCCCATTCAATGGAAGAACAAGAGGTCAATAATTTCACCTGTTTCTGGAAAATGTAGAAACTAAGGCAAAGTAAGCAACAGATAGCAAACCTCGCTGATTTTGCTATTAAAAAATTAAAGCTGTTTGCAAAAGACAACCCAAAACTCTGCATATTTGTTCCAGATCTTGGACACATTTCAAAAATACAAACTCGCCTACATCAGCCTGTCAACACCGGTCAAGTCAGGTCACTAAAACACACCTACCATGGATTCTGAACCACTGTCGCTTAAAATAATTTGCACTTTTTTGGTATTTCACTACTGTATGATTTTCTGGCTCTACTGTTCCCACTGTGACCCTGGTCCGGGAAAGCCCTTCCAGACGGGACAGGCGAGCGTGTACGTACGTATGGCAGCAGCGGCACTGACGCACTAGCGAATTAAACCATGGAAAGTGAGAAGAAATTACGTTGAGCTTTTTAGTAGATCTTCTTTGCAATACCACAAATTTAAAGCTTCACTGAACAATTCTAAATTAGGGAGTTATTCGTGTCCATGCAGAGACCAGTGATGAGCAACGTTCCTCAGGGGTCGGTACTGGGACCAGCGCTGTTTAACACCTTTGAGACATGGGCAGTGGGATCGAGTGCACCCTCAGCAAGTTTGCCAACGACACCAAGCTGTGTGGTGTGGTCGACACACTGGAGGGAAGGGATGCCATCCAAAGGGACCTGGACAGGCTGGAGAGGTGGGTCCGTGCGAACCACATGAAGTTCAACAAGCCCAAGTGCAGGGTCCTGCACGTGGGTCGGGGCAGTCCCAAGCACAGCTACAGGCTGGGCAGAGAATGGATGGACAGCAGCCCCGAGGAGAAGGACTTGGGAGTGTTGGGGGACGAGAAGCTCAGCATGAGCCAGCAACGTGCACTCGCAGCCCAGAAAGCCACCCATGTCCTAGGCTGCATGTCCAGCAGCGTGACCAGCAGGTCGAGGGAGGGGATTCTGTCCCTCTGCTCTGCTCTGGTCAGACCCCCCTGCAGTGCTGCGTCCAGCTCAGGGGTCCCCAGAACAACAAGGACATGGAGCTGTTGGAGAGAGTCCAGAGGAGGCCACGGAGATGATCCGAGGGCTGGAGCACCTCTGCTGTGGAGACCTCAGGCTGAGAGAGTTGGGGTGGTTCAGCCTGGAGAAGAGAAGGCTCCGGGGAGACCTTAGAGCCCCTTCCAGTCCCTAAAGGGGCTCCAGGAAAGCTGGAGAGGGGCTGGTGACAAGGGCAGGGAGTGACAGGCCAAGGGGAATGGCCTGAAGCTGCAGGAGGGGAGATGGAGATGGGATGGGAGGGAGCAATCCTTCCCTGTGAGGGTGCTGAGGCCCTGGCCCAGGGTGCCCAGAGAAGCTGTGGCTGCCCCCGGGTCCCCGGCAGTGGTCAAGGCCAGGCTGGATGGGGCTTTGGGCAACCTGGGCTAGTGGAGGGTGTTCCTGCCCATGGCAGGGGTGGCACTGGCTGTGCTGGGAGGTCCCTGCCCACCCAAACCAGGCTGTCATTCTATCATTTCCATACCCTCTGTTCTCCAACTGTGACACAGGCATGGCCTATCACTTCTGTCTGTGTTACCTGAGGAACACACCAGCGAACGCAGCGCTTGTGCAGGAGCAGCCTCCTCCTTACGGAAAAGTTCTCTATGGGGCCAAGAGAGCAAACGAATAAGGTCCCTGAAGAAAAGTCAGCTTGTCCACACAGTTCTTTCTTCAACATCATCTACCATAACAAAACTCTCTTTAACCTTTTCTTCTGCCTCACTGACATTTAAAGAAAAATAGATAAAACAACATTGTGCCCACAGCTTTCAAAGCACGAGGCGAGGAGAGAACACAGAATACAGAATATCACTGATTTCTGTGGCACAGGTTAAAGGTTCACAGTGTACATATACGTACACAATGACATATATATATGTACACACATTATATGTAATATGTGGATAGATACACACGTGTAAGTCATTCGTAACTACATCTGACAGCAGAAAGTCTGATGCCAATAGTGACTATATATACATATAAAAATATATGCACATACGTCTTGACATCGATTTGTTGAGGACCACTGAAGTTTGCTGGTAGCCATTCTACCCTCACAACTTGAGGGACCTAATTAATTATACCACTACCCATCAATTACAAGTTAGATTCAAGACTTCAGACAAACAAATCAAAGCCCTTCACTAGTAATCGTCCGTGACGACACCCTCTGTTTACCCAGAGGTGTCTGCAGAGGGTGAGCCCAGCAGGACAGTATGTCCAGCAAAAGGACATTTTGAATTTATTTCTTTCCAAGGCACAGTAAAAGTTTTCCCCAGACACATAATTTCCCTTGGAAGGTGTCTTGTATCTGAAAGTCAGCTATCGAAGACTGAAGAACACACAGGCTCAGTCTTACAAAGCTCAGCACTGTTTATGTTCAGAGTTGTTTTCCAGAGCTTAACATTCTATTCCAAAGCATATACAAAGCTGGACTAAACTCTGCTTGTCCCTTATTTCACAACAGTCATTTTTGGTGATTGAAAAAGAAGTACTACACAAGATTATGCTTTAAAATACTCAGAAATGCACATCAGTAGTGAAATGAGACAAGAAGAAAAGGGTATTTCCTTAGTTGCAGTTTAACACTGATTTTGCAGTGCAAATGGAATATAAAGGAACAGAATGTTTCTCAGCACGTAGTATTTGCCAGGATCTTCAGTGTTTTCACTCTCGTTACTCTCCAAGGCATCTTACGGTACCCGGAGAAGGTAAGGGCCAGATGAGCTGAGGACGCTCATGAAGAGGTCGCGTGTCCTGTGTTTTGCAGCAGACAGACCAATCTAAAAGACTGTAAATCTGGTCATAAAAATCCACGAACAGCATCTTTACTACATGTCCTTCTTCAAAATTTCTACAATGACCCTACATCAGATACTGTACCATAAAACGAAGAATTTTTATCCTTTTTATTACATTTGTCTCTAGCCAGAGCAAAAGACTCTGCTGCACGTCCCTCCTTAGTTTCACAGACAATTACACGGTGGGATTATCCTCTGTGGAGGAGGATTATTCCATTCCAAACCAGTTCATTCCGTAGGTCTGCCACGTATAGTTCCCCAGGTACACCAAGCGATGCGCGGGGATTTGCCGATATCGCATCTGCTCATCACAGACTAAATTTGCTTTTTCTAATCTGGGCCATTTGATTTCAGCAGAAAATGTAAATGCTGGTAGTCTGTCTATAGTAGAGCATTCAACCATTGCGTACCCCCAGTTTATTAGACGTTATTGCAGCACTTAGCCCAGCAAGAGGAACGTTTAGTCCGGTCTGGATGGCAAGCTGTGCCCCGTGCCGAGCTCCACAACACACAGAAAACCAGGGAGCCAGACAGGCACTCCAACAGGAGCGGCTCCACAGCAAATTTAACTGTTTTTCTGCTTTCTGGGAGTTTCTGGAAACCCATCCACACTAGCGAAGAGTTGGTTCTGCAAAACAGAGGCTGAGGGCAAGACGTTAACTAGGCACCAGCACTGTGAACAACGGGCACTCGCAATCCCAGCTGAGGCACCAGTAATGAGATCTGTGGAGATTTTTAGATATATTTTTGGGTTGTTTACATTTGTGTTTTAGCTATCACACAGGTACAAGCTCTTGGGCTCCCTGTAAAGCCAGGAGACCACATAGATTACGACAAGCTCAGTTATTTGGGTAATATGCTGATTCTGGCCACTTTGGTTGCAGGAGAAACACCAAGTGTCATGGGACAACAATACGTTAACCTCACTTTCAAGACCAGGAACATCTCAGGGCAGAAACTCGAGGCTCATTTCAGCATTTCCTAGCAAACAGCAACGGCACTGCTCCACAGGGAACCTGCCGTGTCCGGCTCGGCCATTGAAGATGAGGGAGATGAAGGAAGGAGGCACAGAGCTGAAATACCGCCTCTGGATTGGGAAGGTTATGCTTTTACCAACGTGCCTTTGTTCTCTGGCGGAAGCGAGACATTGATTCGTTTTCACTAAACTCACTCAAAGCAATTTTCATGAGCATTTGGTTCACTTTAAAAGTTAAACAACAAAGATCAGCAATGATACGACCATACAGTGGGTGTATAATCACTATTCCTGCTCTTAAAGTAATTCCCGTTGCCATTTACAAGATGCGCAATGGAAAACAATCACAATCTGTACAAACGTGACTAATTTGTACCCTGCTCCCCCACCTCGCTCCGAACCCGATGCTCATTACACCTCTTCGCGGGCTGATTCACCCCACCAAGCTGCCCCCAAACCCACCTCTCGGCCAGTTTTTCTGCACCGTCAGCGAAGGAATGCAGCGCACAGATGGCCGGGAGGTGCTCGAGATGGTGCAAGACCAGAAGGGCACGGTCG